GAACTTCCTTTATAATGAGATCACAAGCCGCCACTGATGGGTCGCGAGCGGATATTAGCTAATTAGCTAGACTAAGTGTCCACATTCGTCTATAAAAAAAGTAGCTTTATCTAACAGGTAGGGATAGGTGTCAGCCATGATACAAAGAATTTGTTTGTATCATGGGTGTCAGCAACTAAAGCCAGAATTTCGTTTTATAGCCCACCTATAGGTTAACCATGATACAAAGAATTTGTTTGTATCATGGGTGTCAGCAACTAAAGCCAGAATTTCGTTTTATAGCCCACCTATAGGTTAACCTATAGGTGGGCTATAAAACGAAATTCTGGCTTTAGTTGCTGACACCCATGATACAAACAAATTCTTTGTATCATGGCTGACACGTATCCCTACCTGTTAGATAAAGCTACTTTTTTATAGACGAATGTAGACACTGGTTGCTAATGGAATTTCCGTTAATAGAAAGCTGCAATCTGAAGGTAGATTTCAAGTAAAGGTTTATTTTGAAGAAACGGCAAAAGAGATTAAGCAAATTATCCAAAATTTAAAAAGGAAGTTATTTTTCTATAAATATCCGCTGCGATAAAGCGCCAAATCTGGCATTACTGCTCACGTACAGTCAAGGCGAAAGATATTATAATTATTATTAGGTATTATAATAAAGGTCACGGCTCGGCGAGCGTTGTAACGATTCGTCATGTCATATCAGAGACCGTTCCATAGCAAGTCGCATGAAATGATTTTGCCCTACCGTGCTTAAAGAAGTTTCACTTAAAAAAAATAATTTCGCAGACCTGTGTTATTTATTAATTTTTTATGAAAACATAAATAAAACTAAAATGTTCTTCTTTTAGAGGAATAAACCTAATTAGGTAAAATATTAAAAGATTTGTTAGGTTTGCACAAACGGTTAAAGTAAAAGCCAGCAAAACTTTTACTTAGATGGGTCAACAACCAAACAGTTTAAACTAACTTATATCTAAAAAACATTTAAAGTGTCCCTTTGCCTTAATTAGAACTTTTAAAATTCGTATTTACGATTTCAAGCCATGCTGAGTTGTCTCCAAAGGATGCAATCAATAATTTTGACTTTTGATTTTTTTAATTCTAGGCGCTTTTGCCATTAACAATAATTTTATCTTAAGTTTGATAATAAAATATTTAAGTAATGTCATTGTAAAATGTTTAGCTACTTGAATTATAATTGTTTACACTTTTATGTTATGTTTATTTATCTTTAATTTAAACATTTGGGCAACACTCGAGCAAAGAGCACTTGGCCCATGTTAAATTTGGTAGGACAGAGAAATCGTGTTGACCAGCATATACTTGATGATGGTCATAGAATGGGATTTGATAATCTTAAACTTATTAAGGAAGTTAGGGAACCAAGTCAAGAATAGAAATAAATCTTTAAATAGCGATAACGGACAGGTACCCACCTCTAGTTTGTATAAATTAGTTTGTTAGTTTCTCTTTGCGTGTTCACTGACGCGATTACGGTCCAGGGTTTAGTAAACTCTGTCCGTTTACGGTTCAGTCAATCTTAGCTTATAATTACTATAAATATGGTATGGATTTAAAGTAGAACCTATCTAAGGTGTAAGCATTTGGGGTCGACGGACTAAGTAGTCTGCCAGTGTCTGTCCATCAAATGCTTTATGTTTACGTTAAATTTTATGATTTTCTTTAATTTAAAAACACTGGAAAAAGTGATAGAGAAAAAACTTTCTCACTTTGGCGTAAATTTCTACAACCAGATTCCAGGGTTGCAATTGGGCTGTTCAATGAACAGTGTTCATTACAGCTCCCACGTTCAAAATGATAAAAAAATTGAGCATTGTCGGTCGCATTGGTGAGTCAAGCGATACAAAATAGGCTTTGATTGGAGTAAAATGTTATATCAATTTATCGACCGCTGCCAACCTCTACATCGGTACTGACACAGATCACAGATCATAAAGAGCGCAACAACTTAGACCAAGCCTCATTTTTCATCATGTCACAGATTCTTACGATACAAACCGCAAAAAATTATTTAGTTAGGCCTGGAGCAATCAAATTTAAATTAGAAAAAAATAGAAATATCGGGACATTTTATTACGTCCGCGAGACGCAGGACATTGTATAAAAAATCGGGATAGTTCAGCCTAAATCGGAACGTATGGCGACCCTAGGTTCCCGCCACAATGAACCACCCGTTTCTGGCAGCACTGACACTATTCACTTTGCTCTTTTGTTCTGATCCGTGGGGTGTTTATGCACTCTGTGTTGTGGACCGGAACTGTTTCTGGATTTAAAATCACTGTTTATAGCCGCTATGGTTAGATTTTGTGGAGCGAAGAGATATACGTCTGACGGGTACAAGTGATACTGATAAATTATTGTTCAACGATAAAAAAATTATTTCTAAAATTTTTTGGTAAATATAAATACTGCGGCCAACAAAGTTTCTAAAAAGTCGGCATTTTATTAAAACTCCCAACCTTCGCTACTTCCCTGTCCATAATAACTAAGAACTTTAGGCTTCACGCGTAATTCCTAAAATGGTTGGTTAATATGCCTAATAACTTTTTTGGAAATTAGCGGTAACATATACACTTCCGGCAAAAAAATATTCGTCATAAAGAAAAGTGACTTAATTTTTTTAAATTATATTACATGGGTATAATATTAAAGAACAACATTTTTATAAGTTTTCGATTATAGATAGTGTTAAAAATCCAATATCCCCTATTTTTGCCGGAAATATACATAAAGAAGGGAAACAATAAATTAAAATTAAATGTTAAACATAATATGAAAATTGTGTTAATTTTTATTTGTGGATTTGAACGAAAAAGATTGAAGGATTAAAATTAAAACACGCACACCGCGGCGGCAAAAAATCTGTTAACGGTCCTAAATCCGTGGTTACTTTTACTCTAAAAAACATTACTACTTTTCAAAATTTCGACCCCAAAAAGAGATCTAACTTGGCCATCAGTTTGGTCTTTAACATAAGTGACATATTCAACAAATTTACGAAAATCCGACATGCCAATTTTACGGGTGGATCTTAACTTGGACACACTGTATAGTATATAGTATAAGACATAGAGTATTTTTAAAAAGGTAAAATAAAAATACATCGATGTTATTAGTACATTTCTTAGTATGTTAGTATTGATAAAGGTTTTTAAAGCTGATTTCAAAAAATTACTTTAAATTGTCTTACAATATCGTTATTACACTCTCCAATTTTCAATAAATTAAAGAATTTATCTTCAATCTTTCTCTACGACCAATTTACCTGGTTATGCTCATGAAACTTCCAAATATAAATCAAACAAACTTAAAATAAAAATCTACCAAATTGGAAAAAATAAAGAAAAATATCTTGCTGCATAAATTAGAAAGTTTTTTAATATTGTTTTAATTTACAGGAAGACCAGTTTCTTGGATGATGTTGGCTCCATCAGTTTCACCAAAAAGAAACAACGACGGTCCCAATAACCCTGGACTACGCATTTATAAATTTGACAAGGACACTGGACAAGTTAGTATTATTTCTATCTAAAAAGGAGTAATGCTCTAGAAGTCTGGATCTAAAAAAGATATCAAAAATTTCTCGAATGTGTTTTAGGTTATGTGGGGAAATCAGTATGACCACAAAAATAACCTTCACTGAGCAACCCCTGGGGTTGTAGCCACCACAAGTCAATTTTTTTAAATGGCAACACCCTCTTTGTGATACCTTACTGAAAAGCTTTTGAAAATTGCTATTTACAGTACTAAAAAAATAGATTTTAATAGTTTAATTTTTCAAATATTCGCAAAAAATGTTTATAATTATTTTTTCCAATTTCTCGTTATAAATATAAAATTAAACCATTAAATATCAAATAAAACCATTTTGTTGTCGTAAAAACACTAGTAAAAAAAGTGGAGAACTCAAAAAATTCTAAGAAAGGTATGATAAACTAAAAAAGCATAAATAAACAAATTGTTCAACAATAATCAAAATTCTTTAGTTTATACCTTTTTAAATTAAATGCAGAAAACTCCCTTGAGCCTATTTTTAAATAAATTAACTGACCTACAAAAAAGTTGTCTTGTTTTTTCCAAGAATGTAACCGTTTTAAAGATAATCGCGCACGCAGAATAGTTATATTGTATATCCCTTATGGTCTAGTGGTTAGGAATCCTAACCACTAGACCATAAGGGATATACAATATAACTAGGATACCAAACAATCAATATGACAAACTATAAATAATGGTATAAATGTTGAAATTTAATTATTTATGACAAAATTTGAGAGGCGTTTAAAACATTTATTTAATAAATGTTTTAAACGCCTCTCATACAAGAGGCTCGGATACCGGAATACTTTTTAAAACATGAATATTTTGAAATAAAACTTTAGAAGAAAATATGAAATAATTAAAAGCTTATTTTAAATTATAAGAACACAAATTTATAAAGATATTTCAAAAATCTAGAAGTTAAATTTATATTTTGTATGGTAGTCATTAAAAAAAGGTTAAAGTATAAGTTAAAGTTATATTTGAAAAGCTTAGATTAATTTATACTATACATTTTATAGAAACCTTTTTTGTAGATCAGTTAATTTCCAACAAAAATATATAATATTTATTTTAACTATTCTGGGAGTTTTAAAATTAAAAAAAAAATATTTTTTTTTTCAAAACTTTTTAAATTTTGACCTAAGATATATTTTAAATGGCTAGGTTTACTAAAAAAAACATAAGATAATCTTTTCTAGAGTATTCCTTATTAAAATGTTTATTGGGCTTAGCTTTATATTTATTTGTTAGTGAACTACAAAATGTTTTTCATCGGACTAATGTAAAGATGGAAAATTGCAATGAGGAAGATCTTATTCTTAATAGTAAGAGCTCATACTTTTTTAAAATGATAAGTCAAAAAAAAATAGTAGATTTTATGAATCACCCTAATATACATGTATATAAAACTAAATTTATTGCTTTTGCAGGTTTTTGATTACACCCAATATTACTTGGACCTTTCCCTTGTCAATCTAAGCAAAAGAGAACCCGAGTGGGTGATTGAATACAACTTTAGTTCATACTACGGCATTAATGATATTACTCCAATTACTCTTCATTCATTGGCCGATAAAATGACGCCAAATGCTCCAAATAATAATCCTTTGTTTACTAGGTAAATATAGAGTACTTAGTTTTTTTGTTGTTTTTTATGTGGGCAATATTTTTTCTGTACATAACATAATATTTAGGATATAAGCCTTTATTAATGAACGTGTAATTAACAAAATTTGTCATATTCTTCCTGAATAAAACGACGATTTTTAACTAAATAATGATAGATTTACTATAAGCATCAAATATGTTTTTTTAATAGTAAAAAATTATTAAAACTTAATGTACCTATTTTTTTTATAGTATCGCTATCTTCGCATTAGATATGTGCATTTTATTATAATAAAGTCAAAAAAACAAAAGTAAAAATGAGTTTATGCTTTTAAAGACTCGACGCCGCAACTCCTACAAAAAAACTAATCCTTCGTTAAAGGGGACTATTAGAAAATTTGCACTTAAAATAATCTTAAATTATAATAACTGCAGTTCATCATGAGGAGATTATAATTTGCCGCTAAAATGCTGAAAGCTATTACAGCTTGCTACCTTAACTTTTAATTTTGTATGTTTATATTTTTACATGCATGTAATATAATATATTTTTTTTATTAATTTGTAGTCTTGTTTTTTTGACAAAACTATATTTATAAAGCTTGCAGAGTTAGAATTAAATGGTTAAATTTTATTCGCCATTCTTTATCGTTCTGTGCTAACATTTTTTATATATATATTAATTTGTAGTCTTGTTTTTTTATGACAAAAGTAGATTCATAAAGCTTGCAGAGTTAGAATTAAATGGTTAAATTTTATTCGCCATTCTTTATCGTTCTGTGTCAACATTTTTTATATAATATTTAAGGAATGGAAAATATATTATATTTCCATTATTTTTAAATAGGAACGCAGGATATTAAATTTCGCCATGTTCCTATTTTTTGCAAAGTGCAACCTTGAAAATATGATTTCTCTAGTATAAAAACATTGTAATTTTAACATGGTCCGGTATTCTCTAGAACAATGTGTTCCTATTATTTAGACTCATTATAAGTATGGAGAATGCTATGCAGAAACCGTTCGAAAAGTCCAATTTTCGGTCGTGCTAATTCTCCAAATGAGACGACAGTGCGAAGGTTAGTGATTAAATTTAAGGAAAGTGGTTTGAATGGGAAAATAAAAATACCTGTGAGTCGTCGTATCAGCCGATCTGCTGAAAACATTGGAGCAGTACGAAAAGTGTTACCGAAAATCCTGGAACCTCGATTAGTTATCGTTTCCAACAAGTTGTAATGTCGAGGAGCAGTTTTCAGCAAATTTTAACAAAAGACCTTTATTGCATACATACAAAATTTAATTAACACAGGAGCTAATCCCAGTCGTTGATGCAATGCGCAAGGAATTTGTTAATTGGAAAGGCAACAAGATGTTGAATTTGCAAAGACAACATTATTTAGCGATGAAGACCACTATTATATCAGTGGCTATGTAAAACAAAATTACAGAACAGCATTGCTGTATATTTTTTCACCCCGGCTGATGTCCCTTAGGATATCGTGGACGACAGTGTCGATGGTAAAGACCCCTCCAGGAATTTTGTCGCAGGGCCTATTAGGCTAGTGAAGTTTGGGACAAGGATACTCCCTTCTTCTCCAATTTTCATATACATAGTTTTTGAACATACTAGAAGAGTTTCCATATAGGCCTAAAAAAGGCATTTTTTATATTTTTTAGTATGTAGGTGTTCAATTATTTTTTAATAGATAATAGATAACCTAACTTGATAATTTATTATTTCTCTTATTGCCATGCATTACATATATTTCTTTTCTTACATCAGTCTTTTTTAACGATAAAATGAACTAGTGTTGCCATGCTTAATAAGCATGCTTATTGATATGAGTATGAGTATGAGTATAAGAGACGTATAACCAGCCCCATTTCCTCTTGACTCTCGAACCCCGTACAGGCCTATGTTTACTTACGCCGATTTTTGTTCTTCCCCAGCAACTGCACGGCTTCACCCGTGTTTGCTGGGTGCGAATGTCCATTGCGTTCCGTACTGTCCCCTATTTGGGGCTCGAGAGCGAGAGGCGAATAGTTTTAATAGCCTTTCCCGGGTTCGCCGAGCCTATGCTATACGCTCAGTGGGGTATGGAGGAGGGACGGGAGGGTGTTGGTTTTTGGGGGACAATTACGCCGACTTAAAACTAAGTACGACGCGGAATCCCCCTAGACCAGTCGATTAGTATTACTCCAAACATTTGGGATTACTATTTGGAGTTGGGGAGTAGTTATTTCGCTGCAGGGGTGTAGTTTCCTAGTCGAGGTCTTTGTCTTGTTCGTTATTGTCATTGTCCGTGTCCTGGTCAGATAGTTCCTGCCCTTGGTAAAGTGTGTCAGTTGTGTTTAATAAATTTTGTCCCAAGCACGTTTTGTGATAGAGTTTTGTCTTTTTTTATTAAATCCAAAATTAAGCATTGCCTTTATTTATTAGTTAAACAAATTACAAGCGCGGTTATTCTGTTGTCTAATGTATACAAATCTTGAGTTTGGCTATTAGGCTTTTTTTTTAATGTGTTAGAATTATGATTAATGTGTTAGTTTATTCTGTAAGTCTAGTGTTTATTTTCGGTCTCGATTGGGATTGCCTTACGCATTTGTTGTTGACAGATTTGCCGTGTGCCTTTTATAGGTTTTAAAGATATCCCAATAAACACTTTAACGGTACCTATCACCATTAACATTGCCCGTGTAAGAATTTTTAATACTTTTTAATACAATTTTGCAATGATAATAATTAAAAACAAAACAATTGTTTAAAGAGTAAAATATGTTCTTAACCTAATCATATTTTAAAGTTATTTTAATTTTCAAGTAAAATAAATGTTATTTAATAAAATGAATACGGGCAATGTTAATGGTGACAAATAACGGAAAATGTTTGCTGGGATCTGCCGTATTTTATTTGCAGATTTGTATCAGATCATGCATATTTTTAAAGTAACTTATCAGCTTTTTTTTTGCGGATGGCCACCTCCCCTTTTGTTTGACCTCCCCTGTCTGTCCAGTGAAAAGCCTCCAATGACAGGTGGCACTTAACTCATTCATATCACTCAGCACTTCACTCCTCAATGACCGTTACACCATTTTAGTTTGCACTCTATGAAAATGTTTGTTTCACTTATTAGTTTGCACTTTTTTTTTAAATTATTGTTGGTTTTATCTTTAAACTTTTACGTTTCAAGAGCTTTCCCGCACGCGACGTGTCTTCTCGAGCGCTGGAACCGTACTGAATAAGCATGCTTATTGATATATATACATAATATACGATTATATACGTAAAAGAAAACAACAATTATTGTAATGTCTGTGCTTGGTTTGATGACGCAATTTGAAACATTCGCCGCGACAACTATATATTAATTTAAAATATTTATTAAGAGATTGGTATAAACTTTTTTGTGAAAAACTTAATTTCATACAAAAAATGTATTTACTTTATGATAAGCGTTAGAAGTTTTTGCTTCTAGACGAGATATTTAAAATTCGATTAGATCGATTAGAGTGGTAGAAAAACTGGGGTAAAAGGTCCTAAGGGACCTTCAAAGAAAAATACTACAGGATGCTATATTATAGCTAACCGCTAGGTTAACCGTATGTCGAGTTTTTGACATTTGACATTGATGACGCAATTTGAAACATTCGCCGCGATGACTATACCCACATAACACAAAAATATATATAAAATATTAAATGAATATTTTTGCTAAATGAACTAAATATTTTAGAAATATTAGTCATTTCCATTTAAATGTCTCTAAAATGTTTTTACAACATTTAGATGTCCCACTTTTTATATTTATACATATTTTTCCACAACATTTTTAAAACATTTTTGTAAATGTTTTATATACATTACCTTATATTTTATCAACATCACAAAAATATCTGAAAATATTTTTGAAATATTTACAGTTTATTGCATATTTATTTTAACAATGTTATTGTAAATGTTGATAAAATGGTTCTTTTATATTTGTGGCATTCCACGTTACTCGGTAATTTTTGTCCCGCCCGTCATAATTAAAAATTGTGAGTAAAAACCAAAAGTTATTAAATTATTATTTTATAATATTATTTTTATTACAAGCATAATTAACAATATTTTAAAATAAATTTAATAACGTGGGGTTTTTACTCACAATTTTTAATTGTGACAGACAGGTATTTGGACCTAAAACGTGGCCAAAAATCAATTTTGTTAATTTTTATTGTCAGATCTAAGATTTTGTTTTAAAGAAGTTAGATAACATGGCTATCTTTTGGTGTAGTTGAAACTTGAATTGGCCATACCAGTCCGATGTACCAGCAGCTAGAACCTAGCGCTCTTTTACATCGTAGGTCTTCGTTCGCTACACTCCACAAAAAAACAAATTTTTGCTGTGTTGTTTCTTATGTTAAAAGAGATTTTGGTGAAAGAAATTAATATGGATGTCGTCAATTAAGGTGTGTACAATATTTTAGGCAATATTTCATTTGTGTTATAAACTTTATTTATTTATATCGAGTACTATAATTAACTACCTAGAAATTCTTAATTTTTCTCGTTTTCTTAAACAAACAATGGTGTTTTTAAATATCGGCAACACCTCGCAACGGCATCCGCAATACATTTTATTAAACTTTAGGATATCTAGAATAATTGCAGCCATCAAAGTCATCCACATGTTTCCACATCACGAAAAACTATACCCTTGAAAACAGACACTTTAGTGCGATCTTATAAGATTTTTAGGTAAATGGATGTATTTTTTATTTTTTAAAGGGCACAAAAACTTTAATATATGTTTAATTTTAATATTTTTATTGCATTACTTGCATGTAAGTAGCTACTTTATAATTTTTTTATAAATAAATTTGTGAATACATACTTTTTTTTATTTATAGTAAAAGTACCTAATATCACTTGTATACCTTTAAAAATATGTTTTTTGGTCATTTGCTACCCTTTTGATAAAGAAAAAGTGCCCAAATATTTTTGGCCACGTTTTAGGTCAAAATACCGCTCTGTGGGGCGGGACAAAAATTACCGAGTAACGTGGAATGCCCCATTTATAAAAGCCGTGTGACATCCGATACTTTTTGTGTACTGTATTCTCATAGCAGATATAGTAAAACAGTGAAATACTATAGCTGGAGATAAATTTTTTGAACGCTAAAAATACAAGAAAATTTAGTACAGTTCTTAATAAAAAATATTTAAAAAAAAAAGTTTATTTTAAAAATAATTGATATAAATAAACAACAGTTGGGTCTTGACTCTTGAAGTGTAAGGACGCTCAAAGATAGTTAACGAGACCTCTCCTAAGCAGCGTATACGATACAAACGTAGTAAAGTATCAAAAACGAATCTAAGTATGCGGGAATACCGGTAATCGGTAATAAATAAATAAATAAATAAATAGTGCGCCGTAAAATAACAAAAAATTAATATCGATTTTACACGTGATAACTGGTTAACGCCGTAAAATAACAAAAAATCAATATCGATTCTACACGTGATAACTGTCCCAAGTGCAAAAGAGTGCAAATTGTGTGTGGTACCTCCCCCTGGACTAAGAGTTTGACCTGGTTAAAAGGTGTGAGAGTGATCAGTTTCAATGAAAATTTCCTGGGCTACCACACGTGCGGGCGGCATGCGATAAGGATCAATTTTAGCACACCTGCCTGGCAAATATCCTGAAGTCCAACTCTGCATAAACTAGATAAGTAGCTACCAAATTGCATGACCAATATTAATACTAGTTAATACGAAATACGCAACCTTTAACTAACAATACTGCCGTGCTTAATGAAAACGCCGTAACCAACAATTTTGCGATTTTTGTTTTACGGAATTTTCTACTAGAACAATTCATCCTGCGTCTATACCCGGTACTCAAAAAACCGTATCTATATATATACGGTTTTTTTAGTACCGGGGATAGACACAGGATGAATTGTTCTAGTAGAAAATGCCGTAAAACAAAAATCGCAAAATTGTTGGTTACGGCGTTTTCATTAAGCACGGCATAATAATTCTTCAGGTAAAATTAATTAGTCGCAAACAATTTCCAAGATTCTCATGCAAATGAAACAGTAAAAAAAAAACTAATAACACAAGAGCACATAAGAAGCCATTAATCACTCAAGTTACGATAAACATTAGGCAAAAGAAACCATCCTAAAGAAATTTATTTATTTATGTTTACATCTATAGATTACTAAGACGTAAGGGTTCATAAATTAAGTAAAAACCGTTCTAAGAGTAATAGCCGCAATGCACAGTGAGGCGCAAAGATGGACCCAACCCCAAGTGAATGGGGATCACGCAAAGTGGGAAAAAAAATAATTCGAGGGTCGAAAATTCCAGTAGGTTAAACGAATTTCCACATAGTCAGAGGGCACTAATTACGGCGGGGTACGGCCGGCAACACTTCGGTTCTGAAGATAAGACTCAATATCGCACAGAGGGGCAAACAATTCTAAAGCGGCTATCAGGAACCGAAATCCGACTCGGACAGCGACGAACAGGAAGTACAACATCAAGGAAAGGCGCTAGCAGCATAATAATCCACCCACCCCCATTCAGGAATACCAAATGAATGGGGTTATTACTAAAGCCCTGGTTGAGGAGGATTCCGGATTGTACTTAGTTTTGGGTCAGTTCAATGTCCTCCAAAAACCCTTCCTAAACTGGACGTATGGCCCGACCCGGCTGACAAAAATCCGTGGAGCGGCCTTAACCTTTGACACTGTCATCCACGACCTCCTAGGGTGGATCTACCAGCCGGCCTAAAAACTTCGGATCCAACAAACACAGGTAATGCTGTGATTTGGCGGGATACGCAGGAGAACGGGTAAAATAACCCCGGGAGATTAGTGGTGGATAATATATTTGGGGCCTGCCATAGGTTCCCATACTCATACTCATACTCATAATTGATATAAATAAACAAATTATTATTATTCTATTAAATAAAAAAATAAAATAAACAAATATATAAATAAACAAAACAAATAAAAATTATTTGAAAAGAATTACAAAAAAAAATTCTTTCTTCAGTATCGGTTTTTCTTAATTACTTTTTTTTCCTAAATTTATCTTGGGCCAACCATTGTCTCAATTCTGCTAAAATTTCGTTTTCTGTCGCATTATTTATTTGTTTTCGGATTCTTCCGGATGGAGGCTAAAAATAATTTAATTTATACAATTGTTGTCTGGTTTTAAAATTTTTGTTAATAAGAATTTTACTGATAGAATAATTGTCTTCAATAGGGTGGCAATAACGCGGTACCGTACCATTCATAGATATCAAATCCATTCATAAATAGTAATAATAATCTAAACAATAAAAATAAATATAATACATACCTCAATCTGGATAATTTATTATTAGCGTCGCACACAGGTTTTTCTAGGGCGTCACACTTAAAACACACTCAACAAAGCAAAAATGGCCTAACCATAGATTATAAAAGCCGACACAGTCACTGGTGACTTTAGCGGCCGAGTCTCAGACAACAGACCTTTTTATGAAGAGGCGCTGACATCACAAAACTTTGAATTAACTTTTCAAGAAGTTTATAAATATTGTTAAATAACTCAACAATATTTGGGATATAATATTTACATAACATAGCGAAATAAATATAAAAAAATATTTACATGATATTTATGAATGTTTTAGATACATTTACGCGTAACAGTTATAAAAATATTTTCCCCTGAATGTTTGTACAACATTTCATCAACCTTATTTTTATAAATATTGTTCTCTAAACGGCCTGATAACATTTTTAAAACATATTGTGTTATCTTAATTGTTTTTGTTACCTAACAAATAAAAAAGTGAAAAAATTAATAATATAAATATTACCTATTTAATTAAAAAAAAACATTAAGCTTTAAATATGTACATATTTAAAGCTTAATGTTTTTTTAATTAAATAGGTAATATTTATATTATTAATTTTTTCACTTTTTTATTTGTTAGGTAACAAAAACAATTAAGATTTGTACAATTTTAAAGGGTAAATCAAAATAATTTTTGGTACGATTTTAATTTTGACTACTAAATAATAAATTTATTTTTTTTTGCAGAATTGTGAGTCTTAAGACTAAATTTCCTAGAAAAAATGTAATTTTTTCTCTAAAATTAAAAACTTTGAATCAATAAGATACTTTATTCAATCAACGAAAAAAGCAAGATGCTTTTTAAAATGAAAAAACGACATTGTTTAAGTTCTTAAAATTATTGTTAAGAGCTTAAAATTGGACTTAATTATTTACATACGTGTAGAACAGTATTAGAGTAGATATCAATGTTAGTTAGTGACCTACTTTATTGTAAGTTATTGTGACTGTTTTAAAAAAACGAACAAAACAAAAAGCGTTCTTCTCATGTTTTTTTAAGTTTCTTTACCCACCTTTTAAATTTTAAATTGTTACCATATAATATATTATAACATATTATATCCTTATATTTTTTATAATAATGTTGGGTGTAATTGTTATTGTTATTTTTATTAGTTGATTGTCGAAAATTGCCAAAAATTGCTGAACTAAAATTCAAAACATGACCTGATCAATGTATCATTTATAATGTACTACACATATCCATTATTCTAATATTTTTAATTTTCATTTCAGATATTTCCGAGCAAATTCAGTACGTACTTTCAACGGGCCGCAAAACGTGTGCGATTCATACTGCGCCCACGGCCATTTCTGCGCGATAACGCGCCTGGATTTTCTCGAGTTTGAACAGTGTCTCAAAGCTGCAGCAAGCGCTTTAGCATCTTCAGCTATATCCTATGCCCGACCACCCTTCCAACTGGTTTTAACTATCATTGGGTGGATAGGATTTGCAGTTGGTTTAATACTAGAAAACTTAACTTAAACAAGTAATCACCACCACTTCTCAATTTACCTATGTATCATTATTTCTGGATGTTACATGTACGAGTATAACTGTTTAAATCGATGTTAAATGCATATTTACTAATAATATTATTACTTACTAAAAATATTCCTTTTAATTTTGTACCTATTATTAAATCTATTAAAACAGGCTAAATATCTATGAAAAATTTGAGGAAGGATTTAGGTAAAAATGTACATTTCTTAAATGGTGCTAAATGTTGCTCATACATTGTTTTGTTAGTATAAACTGTTAATGTGTAGGTATATTTAAATTATTTTATTTATTTAAATAGTAAAAACATATTTATATCCAGATTATAAATATTTTTAATGATTGCAAACTAAGCAAAAAAAATAACATACCAACCCGAAATTATACCCTTTTTAAATTGGCCATATCTCAATGAATTTTAACAGGTTTTTTAACCATTTTACTTATTTTAATTATTTTATTTAAATATGTATTTTATTTTAACTTAATAGACGTTTAGTAATTAATTAGTGAAATTGTAATTCAAGTTTTAATCATAATTATTATTACAATGATATCTTTTCTTAATAAATTAAAAGACTGAACCGCGCGCTTTCTAACCGGATTATTTATAGTAAACTACGTCACAGAGCAGGCCCGTAGCCAGCCGTAGGGCCCGACGGGCCCGGGCCCCCCCGAAATTCCGTGAATCCTAAAATTTTCCTAAATATGTGAATCATGTTTTAAAAATATGTCTATCGATTACAAGCCATATTTTTTATGACAACTTCACGCTTTACTGGTATTTATCCATCAACCATTTCCGCCCCCCTACGACCCAAAAAGTTATTACTACGTTTTGGCCCCCCCCCCCCAAACCAAATTTCTGGCTACGGGCCTGTCACAGAGTACAGCTCCGTCTAAGCGCTTATTTTAAACTCGCCGTGTTAGTAGAAATAATAATAGATATCTATTATTATTTCTACTAACACGGCGAGTTTAAAATAAGCGCCATATGGCGTGTAGAAATAAGGTAAATCCTTACATTAGGCAAAGAGTTTAAAAGCCTTGATTAATAACTTCTTATTTAATGGCTTAATAGCTTTGAAAATAAGAGCTTTTAGCGACATCTGTACCAGGATCATTAGATTACTTTGACTGACTACGTGCCGCCACTGGTATACAGCTAGCTCCTTCTATCGATTTTAGAAATATTTCCTAAATTTTAAGTTTTAAAATCTGTTATTGGATATTTAATTTTTTGTCGAGTGGTTAATAATACGCAGATTACTTCTGGTTCCAGTTTTTGGTAAAAATAGTACATTATAGACTAGGCGGAAAAGGTTTATATTATATATGAAGGGGTAAGAGCAAAAGGGTACAAGTGCAAAAAAGATAAGTGGAGTTATTAATTTTTAAAGTTTTTGCTATATACAAACATCTGGATACTTGTTTCAATATTGTTGTTTGCATTAATCAGCATCCAGAACTCGTTCAATTTTCACGTTATGAGAAATTTTTTATAACATTTGGACTCCTAGCTACTATGTACCCAATTCTGCACTTAAGTTATTTTCATGCTAAAATGCACTTGTACCGTTTTGCTTCTTACCCCTTCATATATATTAAGATGTCGCCGCCGTGTTTATATACTATTTTTTAAGCATTTAATTAAAATATTTTTGTAAGATTATTTTTAGGTTAGGTTTAACTGTCATGATGACATTTTGTACCGAGGTTTATATGCTAAAGAAGCATCGGGTTTTAGCAACGCGCGCGCCATCTGGTGGAGTTCGATAGCATTATTGATAATTGAAGAATTGTCAACAATACATTTAAGCATACAAACTGCACATCATTTTTAAATAAATAAGTAGTTTTATCACAAAAGAGAGGAAGGCAGAAGTCTTATTCGACAAATTTTGTTCAATTGCACAGCTAAATCGCTGACGTTATTTGTGTGTTTGGGTTGCAAGTAAAAACTAAAAAAACTGGTTTAGTACTCGATTTCGATTTATTATTCCTTATATCATTGATTAAGAAACTCAACGCTTATATCCTTATATAGTTACGTTAATATGTGTACTTTATCTAAGTGATTATGTGAATTTTTGTGTTTTTAATTGTAAATAAAATTCAAGAACTAAATCGTTGCATTTTCATGTTTTGTCAAAGGATCCAATTCGGTACGTATATTTCTTGGTGCAGAGTCAAGTAATGATAACTTTACCTAATATAATACATATTTAAGTTTGGACATTTTAAAAAAATCTAGCAAACAATATTTGTTTTACATACATAACCTTAAAATCGAACATTTTTATATTTGAGTCCTTAAAATGCTGACAACTGCATTTTAAACGACAAAATATATCTCCGAATTTATGGCAACATAATATTATATATAATGCATAATGTTGTTTGAATTTAAACGACTTATTTGTGTTATGATTTTTAGTGAATTGAAATGTTTACAATTTTCACGTAAATCAATACTACCTACGTATTAGAAACAATAAATTAAATTTATATTTACAGGAACTGTATGCAATTTATTTCTTGATTCGGATTTTCACTGTGGAAACCGTTAAAAAGTAAACTCAGGATTTCCTTTCGAAAAACACCCAACAACACAAAAAATCGTGCGACGGTTTTTTTCCCGATATTTTTAACATTTTCTGGCTTTATTCTCAAAAACACTCGTTTGTAACATACGCGTTTGACAGCTGCTTATTGAAAGCTGAGTTTTGGTTACGATGATAACGGCCGATGGTAGCGCCACTCCAGCGATGCTTTTTTAGCGTATAATAATTTGACTTTTGAAATAGTTTTAATATTAGGTCTTTCTATAGAGACTTATGATTTTTATAATATGAAAATTATTATACTCCCTTGTGGAAATTTTTCTCTAAAAAACTGAGAAAAAAATTTAATAAGTAAAAATAAGTTTTTAAAGCCTTACTCTTCTCCTATTGTGTCATTTTTTACTGTGGCACATCCTCCTTGATTTTCTATGACCGTGGGAGTTTCAGGATTAAACTTTGTGGTGACCTTGTTCTCATTAGTTTAATTCTTTACTCCTGGCCCTAAGTTAGTTTCTGTGGCTTTTCTATTCTTTTTCTAGCTTTTTCTTCCTTATCTTTGTCTCTAACTTCTCCGTCTGTCGGGTGTTGGCTTGGAATGCTTGGAAGCTTATCAAGGAATGGTCGTCCAAAAAATAACTGCTGGTGTTTTGTCTGTTGTACAATGCGGTGTACCTACTATTAAACATCATTAGGTATTCTAGAATATCTTGCTTCCAATTGCGTTTAGTGGCTTGGCTTATTTTAATTCATTTTATTATGGGTCTATTTTGCCATTGTGTTGAGGCCAATACGGAATGGTATTAGTAGAACGACGTTATATTCGGTGCAGAATTTTTAAATTCTAAGTTGCAAAATTGTCTTCCATTATCAGCCGTCAACGTTTCTGGTACTCCCAGTCGTGAAAACATTTCTTTAACCCTTCGACCGTGTGGTGAAAAAAAATTACGAGACCTGTGTGGTGGGGTATACCATGATACAAAAAATATATCAAAATATACCAGAATTTATATTTTTTCATAATTTTTTTTATAAGATTAATGGTGTTATAAACCAAAAAAAAAAAACATATATTAAAATTTGAATGATCTATAAAAAATCGGGAGTCAAAAGAGAGTAAAAGCGATTGGTTTGCGGTTTAAGGCGGAGTAATCACGATATAAAGAATAAATTAAGGGAAATATCCTGGCTTAACATGCTCGAAAGACGCACTCTAAATGCTTTACTTTTGTATCATAAAATTATAGTTTTTAAAACGCCACCTTATTTGTACAACAAGATTCGATTTCGAACGGATGTTCATAGTCTTAATATACGACATAAAAATACGATAACACCTCCTCAGCATTCTACTGCTATGTTTGAAAGATCGTTTTCCTATAACATTTTTAAGTTATATAATATGGTTCCCGAAAATATTAAAACCAAGTCAATTACTCTATTTAGGGCAGAAATTCGTTCACTCATTCTTATCGATTATTTTAAATTGTGATATTTAAGTACGACATTTATAAGATCCTTATATTTTGTTTTATTTTTCTTAATTACCTAGATTTTTTATGTACTTGTAAAGATAATATTTTCTTTTTAGTTACTTTTAATATATGTGTATATATGTGTATGTATGGGTAAATATACATACATATTAAGTTTTTTTTGTAATACTATAGGGTTAAGTGGAAGAGCAGTGAACTACCTAGTGTAGGGTACTGAACTTCGCCTTTTGTTTGTAATAAGTTTTTTACAATCAACAAAGACATTATTATTATTATTATTATTATTTATTTTAATTTTTCGAAATCCTTTTCTCTTTATAAAAAACTACAAAATAAAAACTTAAGCAAAATAAAAATGCAATTGACAAAATAAAATAAATATACAACCTAAAACACAAACCAAACAAAATAATAAAATATTGTAAGACAAAAAAGTTATGCACTTCTTAAATCATAGCAATTTGAACGTGTATAATGTGCATGTTTCATACAAACTAACATGCATAAAAAGTCTTTCTGTTCTTTTCTCTGTCACAAAAGTTGCATCTCTTCGTTTGGATGGTGTTTCAGGAGTTGTCATCTTGGCAATTCAGGTTCATCCTCAGTTTCGGCCCAAATGCGTAAAAGATTTTCTTGCTCTTTTTCGTAAGACATGTACAAAAAAATATTAAACAAGCTAAAAATTAAACGTAAAAATCTTTTTAAAAACATGCCTTTTTTTATAAACTAGGTATCTAGAGTCACTTTGTCAAATTTCGGGGTTTAAGCTTGTAAAAAACTGGTACTATAAAAAACTATGTTAAAACTTACCGTTTAATTTTTGTTACACCAACTGTGTGGTGGGGTATGTGATTCATTACGTCCTAACTACTCCACCGTTAACAACACACTAAAATATTCATCACCCAAATATTCGTCTCGCCAAACT